AAGTATTCTAAACTGTATAAAAAAAATTGAAATCAATTGTGAACATCCTTTCCTTATATAGGACGGTCTCTCCTGTTACAAAATTCTGATATAAAAATAAATAACTCAGTAATATCAGGAATGAGAGACCTACAACATCAAATTAGAAGAAAACAAAATGCTTCTTTAAAACAACCTACCTTAGAAATTTTTTTTCATAATAGTAATGAATAATTTTTATACATTGTTTAAACAATTTATTATATTTTATTAAATAAAATTCAAAAAATTTATATGAAATTCGATAAGTTGGTTTACTCAATAAGTTGGTCAAATGTGCCTGCCCCCGCGTGACTGACTTATCGAGTTTATATATGTATTACTATACAAGAAGATGTCAAGGCAGCACAATTGAAACAATTTGAGTATGTGACGTTTGATTATTGGGAATTTTACAATTATCAAGACACACATGCTACCTTGAACACATTACAGTCATTCTCTCATCTTCCTCGTGTACACAAGGTTAATCTGACCACGCTGCCCCCGAAGATACAATGATGCTACAGAATTTCAAGGGGAAACCCAAGGCCCTGGAGACTGCACTAATCATCAATGACACTTTCACTAATCTTCCAGACCAGAGATGGCTGCTGGCATAATAGCTGAAAAGTTATCTGCAATGATCCCACCTCTAGGGTAAGGATGGCACTGTGACCAAGTCGCAACTCTGCTGATGAATATTAAGAGAATCTGCAGCTTGTTCAAGCACAGGAGGTTGCAATTCAGAGCAGGGTTGGTGGTCCTGAAATTGCATTTGGGCTCTGATGTTAAGAGGAAAGTTGTAAAATAGTGTTTGTTTTGTATAATCATTTTCATAAATCTCTGTTTCTGATACTAACCAATTTATAATTTTGGGTAAGAGACTGGATGGGGTTTTTGCTCGATCAATCCCCTGTCCTGTAGGTTAAAATTATCACATGATCATATACATCTTTGTCAGCAATATGGCCAACAAGAAAAAAATTATAAAATGGTTTGGATTTTGTTTGGTATGTATGTACAAATTAATCATTTTCTCAAATTTTCTGCTTTTTGGTATTTTTTGTTTGACCAAGCGAATTTGTTTTTTAAATGGGGTAGGGTTGTTGGTGAGTAGGCATGCCACCAACAAGACAGCAACCCAGGACTCAAAACTCTGAATTCAGGGAAAAACCAAAACAATGATCCAGGTTGCAACCTCCCGAGTTGCAGAGTTGCAGACACCAACTTTATTCTAGAGGGGTATAACACAAAGCAAGCATCATAAATGCTAACTCTCATCAGCAATCAATGCCCAAATAGTAACAATCAAGCCTGATATGAGAAGATAAGAGAAGTTTTGTCCAAAGCCTTCCAACATGTAGGGGATCCCTCACCTATGGAAAAAAATCCACAGTCATGAGGAGTGTGAAAGCACCTAACCACATGTTGTCATAGGAAATTTTAATTAAATCTGACACCTGCAATCAACATCAGATTTATTATTCATTCTTGTGAATCTCAGAGATCTGGGTAGACATGCATTATTAAAAGTTTCATTTTTGCATGGCCTTGGTATTGTTACTACCCGGGTGATGCAATTGTTTGTTATGTCAATGATGATATCAAATGTATTGCATAATAATCATGACCATCATGAATATTTGATGGATGGAGGCATTCACATACAAGGAAATGATTAAATTGATAAGTCATGTTTGTTTTGTTTATTAAAGATATATAATTAATTATATTTAAAAATTTGTTATTTTATTCCACTTTTGTAATGGAATTAACTTCAATAATTCTAAAATTATTTGTTTTTTGAGTATTTAATCTATAATTATTGAATAAATTACACAAGTGGTGTGTCAATTTAAAAAGTATTTTTTGAAAAAGGTTTATTTGAAATAATACTACTTTAAATGTGTAAAATTAACGATGACGCTGAAGAACATTAATTCATTTAACTTTTTATTATGTATTCCTTGTAAGTTCTTTTTCTAAGAGTCCCAGGAAAACATATGCTTTCTATATTTGTATCATAGCAATATATATTTTTATTATTATTTATATTATTTAAATCGGTATAAATATAGATACATTAAGATTAATAAAGTAATGGAATGAATAAACAACTAATTTATTTTATTAAAACATAATTGTCTGATTGTTAATTGGTTATTAGAAGTAGTTTGACTTCTAAAATTATATTTGAGTTTCATATTGAAATAAATAAGAATTACAATTACAGTCAATCTCAATCCATACTTTCTTATCGATTGCGGAAAAATTGATTTTTGTATAATTGATTAACATCCCTACTTGTCACCACAGGATCAATTTTAGAATCTCTTTAATTTTAAAATAAATGAAAACTTACAAAGTGAACATAAAATTATATATATAGGGATAAGTGTATATGAAAAGTAATAATAAGTATAATGGTTCTGCTGAATATCAAAAAGCAATTGATTTTTTAGAAAAGGGATGTAATTGTGGTTGTTCTTCAAGAATTTCCAAGGAACAATTTGCAGAATTAAGAGAATCTTTTCAAGCTCTTTCTAAATCAGAACAAGATATATTTTTAATGGCTCAGATTAAAGCAATGGATGGTGGATCAATAAGCACCAGCAGACACCTTAAAAAGAAAAATAGATCTAATAAAAGAACTTTCTATCACTGAGATCACAATACACTCCTTTGTCAAGGAACTTATCTCAATATGCTAGGAATTGGTAGAACTTACTTTGAAAATATCAGAAATTATCTGATAAACAATGGTCTTTTACCAAGAATTTATGGTAATATTAAAAGAATGCCTCAATGGAAAACTAAAATGGTAATTGATAAAAATGTTGCTGAAGTGGTAAAAAATTTTCTGGAAAATTATGCAGAAGTTCATGGATTACCAAGCCCAGGAAGAAATGTCAATAGAATAACTCAATCAGTTACATTCTCACCAGCTGAAATGAGTTATAAATCAGTCCACAGAGATTTTCTGGCTGGTCTGGAAGAAAACAACAAATTGAAATCATTAAAATATGATGCCTTCAGGAAGTTGTGACATCAATTGACACCAGAGATTCAAATTATGAGTCCAAGGACTGACTTGTGTGATACTTGTCAGCATTTTAGAGATGGTTTACATTATAATGCTCACCAAGAGGATGAAGCCAAAGATCTACTCAAAAGATTTAAAGAACATCTATCCAAGGCCAAATTAGAAAGAAATTATTATAATAAAAATACCAAATTAGCAGAAGAACAAAGAAAACCAGTTGATCAACATTATTCCAAGGGTAAAATACAATATTGCAGTATTGATGCTACTGCTCATTATAGTTATGATTGAGCCTAGGATGTTCATGTGCCACATTCAGATCAACAAGTAAGTAAGATTTATTACCTTAGTCCATGCAAAGTTCATTTATTTGGT